ACAGCACGCGAATGAAATGTTAAACCGGCAAGGCGATAAAGCACATGCAAATGTACTTATGTGACTGCGAATAAGTGCAGTGTCCCGTGAGAGTAACTCTACTGCAGAGTCAACATTTGATGTGAATGTATGTCGCATTGTACATTATATTGAGCCGGAGGCGCCAGAACTGTAACTGATTGAATGTGCGCTGTAGCGCGATACTATGATATTTCTTCAAAAGCAGATCGTGGAGACATTTTTATCGTCCACAATCAAAAATCATCATATCGCACACCCCTACCCAGTTGATGGGAAAAGTATTCATAGCATATTAAAAAATGTGAAACATTTGTAATAAATTATTATTCACTGTATTTTGAAGTCGCCACAATAACAATATTGTGCATGTTCATTATCGAGATATATCTCATTAATGAATACCGGCACAAGTCTAGCAAGCACGATTTGTGCAGAATGTTACAAAGTGGTCAGGGTTTTTCCTGCAGTGAAATTTTTTTGGCGGCCTCCAAAACAAATTTTTGTCCCACCAAAGCCTTTTTTGATCAGTTAATGTGATTTATGAGTGATGTAAATGAATGCTGTGCATGTTACCTGAGGGAGAGAAAGCGCAGAGAGCCCCTCCCGCGCACTCTCTCTCTCTGTCTTCAAACCCTCTCCCTCCCTCAGACATATTACTAAAATGGTAAAAGGTCAGAAGACCGAATCCTTGTTTCATGTGGCGCATTCGGAGATTTTTTTCCCCCCTGAATTACCGCTGGGTGTGAGTTGCGCTCAAAAAACATGTCCTTATCCTCTCTGACAAGCGTTACGCACATGCAGCTGACATAAACCACACTTTCAGTTAACGAATAAAATCTGTGCAGTGATGAATAGCGATGCACCTAAATGAAAATTCTTGGCCGAAGCCGAACAAAATAAAACACTGGGCCGAAGGCCGAATACCGAACATGGTTTTTCACATTTTTCCCCATGTAGGCCTATTTTGCCATTGTTTTTTTCACCATTGCATTAAGTAAATTGCCAAAATGTGCTTTTTACTGTTTTGTCCTGCTTTTCAAATAAAAAATCTATTACAAAACAACAATTTAAAAATATTTACTTAACACTGAACATTTTTTTTCATTCTAGCAGACATTATACCAACAAAGCACAATTTAACTTAAAATTAATAAGTTGCTGAGCAGAAAATACTTCTTTTAAAACATTAGAATATAGGGCCTTTCGCACCGCTTTAGTTCCAGAACTAAATGTACAGTACTAAAGTACTGGGACGATTTTGCGCAAACTATTTCCCAGTACCATTTAAAGGGTTGCATTCGCACCAAGAGTGTGTACTAGGAAGTGACGTAAGCCGTTCGACAGCGGAAAAAGTGGTATCAGTGCATCACTTGTAATTATTATTATCATTATTATTGTCTTAATATTTTATTTTATTTTTCAGAACGACAGAAAAATTACAATACTATCATTTATGAATGTCGATGGAGTTGTTGCTTTTTCTCGGCTTTTATTTTGGCAGAAACCCGCAGGAAGATCTCAGTGCTTCTTTTTGTTGACAACAGCATGCAGATTTATAAATGATTCTCATTACGAATTTGGGAAGATGTTTGTTGCACGTATCACATTGTCACATGCCTTTAAAAAAATTCACAAAAATGTTACTGAGCAACTGACGAGTAACAAGTTCAGCGCAGATTTTCCTCGCGCTTTGGACTTTGAACCCTGGCGCCGCCAGCTCGTGCAGCGCTGTCAGAAGAATACATGCAATTCGTGCGTGCATTAGAAAATATAACATTCTGCAGTTGATTTACTAATCGTTTAAAGGTAATTTCGCGATTTCAATCATCATACAGTAACCTAACCACCAGCATTAGCCACCTCTTCTCATCGGAGACGTGATGCAGCACTAAACAGTCTCTCACTGTCGGTGCTTCGTGCTTGTAATGATTTCTGCATCTTTCTCTGATAGTTTTAAATACGTTCACACTGCCGACATGTTTGCTGCATTAGTGCGTGCCTCTATTTGATCGCATTAGTCATTGTTCGGTACATATTATTTGGCCTTTTCGCTTATTCGAATTTCGGTTGCCGAATATTCGGTGCATCCCTAGTGATGAAGTGTTTTCTGCGTTGACAAAAATCTTATGCGATGTATAAGATCGCATATATACATGTCTATGTGCGCTAATGTCCGATTCGCGAACTAACGACTCCTTTGAACAGATTCATTTCAATGAATCTGATCTGTCATCTGTTATCTGTCAACTGATCTATCCAACACTGAACTCACGAGACATCACTGTCTGAATTGGTTTATAACAAATCATTTACTCAGAACACCTCAGAAATTAGATTGTAACTGTGTTTACCCCATTTAGCAAGAGTGGTTAGTAAGATTTAGCCTTAATAATTCACAGTATTTTCATGTTATTTATATGACAATGTGTAGTAAATTACCTATAAAATCATTTAGTTTAGACTGGAGTGAGGTGAAACCAGACCAAAGCACAAAGCAAGTTGCTGTTATCTAGCTGCTAATTTTATTAAATTGTATATGGTAGAAAATTATACTATTAGTTAAATCAGTTTTTTATGCTACTTTTTTAATGGTACTCTTTAATATTTATATAATTATATACCAAAATAATTATCAGGTCTAGCAAAAAAAGCATCTTATCTTTCAAAGCTATGAAGGGCAGAGGAAAAATCACAGCTTTTTTTTGCAAAGAGGGCAAGAAAGGATGACAGTGAGAGAAGCCTAATTTGGAAGAGGTTGTAAAACTGATTAATTCTCAGCCACAGTCTGAAAGAAAATGGGGTCAAAAGTAAATAAATAAATAAAAACAATGAGCAACCAAGTGTAAACAATGACCAATTCTTTTTTTTCTAACTACTTTGGTAATGGTGACGTTTACATGTAAAGTAGTTGTAAGCACGTTGTTATATTATCTATCCTGACAGTGATTGTTTTTTATTTAATGAATAAATAGGATAAGCAAAAATCACAAACTGTTTCTTTGCATTTATTTTACACTTATTGTCAGTATTGGGATCACTTGGGTAGGGAACTTTTTACTGTGTGTATGGATGACTGTCAGCCACCACCGAAGACCATTTTTGACCTAGGAAAAACCCTGGTGGTAATTCATTATTTTATACCTCTCTTATATTTCAGATATGATGTTATAACTGTGTAAGTTCTCTACATTAGGGATGTTCATTTCAGTTATTTTTCTTTAACCAACAACCGACACTTGTTATACCAATTATTGCTAACCAGGAAAGAAAATTTAGTTCATTTACATTAGCATTTATTCATTCATTTGTAATAAACACTTTAAATGTAAATTATAAGTGCATTATAAACAGGGCTGGAAATGGGGGGTGGGGGTACGGAGTCTGGGGAGTGTATTTCGAGGGGAGACGGCGTTTCATTTGGTTAGGTTTATTTGGAAATTAAAGTGATTTCTATATTTTATCCATTCAAAAGACTACGAAAGCGATCCCAATTCTACACATAAAACTAGCGTGATAATTTGAACAAATTGACTGAATGAATGATTCAGTGACAAAGACAGTGACTTGCTGCCACCTACTGGTGGTTTCAGTTTCATTTTAAAGTATAAATTGAGTAATTTAAATGGTTTAATATTTCTACATTCAAAACTTTATATTTAAAACATTAATTTCAGAACATTGTTATTATGAAATGCATTAATGCCACCTCTGAGTCTTGTCAAAAAGTCTGTAATGCCACATCTGTGCCGTGCAAAAATGAATTGTTGATACTGATTTCATTTGACTAGTAGGTTAACTTATTCTTCCTGATTGTATCTTATTATTTTAATTGAATTTATTGTTTAATTAAAATTTTTGATAAGTTTATAAATCTAATTTTTTTTTGGCACAAAAAATGGCGTACATTTAATAAAGTTAGAGGCATTACAAAGGTTTTTTATTTTTAAAAAACTTTTAAGGAGTCAAATATCGCCTTATAATAGGAAGGTTAATTTCTGTCATTCATCAGAAGGTGTTCCTATTTTAGGTGTTCCTATTCACAAGTGCTCCTGAAAAGAAATGTAAGCGGCGTAGAGAATGTAATGTTACCTTTTAAAAACGAATTGCAAACAATTATGCAAAGTGTAAACTATTAAATATAATCTACAAATCATGCAATACTGTACCACTAAATAAGAAGTGTTTTGTGGGCTTAGCTAAACAGGCCAATTAGAGACAATTACTAATCATTCAGATTTTTTATAAAATCTTTTTCATTTCACTAATCAATCCTTTTTTTTTTTTTTTTTTTAAACACAAGGGGTCATTAATGATGCTTGCATTATAACGTGCAAATTCACCCACACGGCATATCTTTAATTTGGCCAGAATTGCAGGTGCTTGTCTTAATATCCAAGAAGGTTTAGAGAAAATATGAAATAAGTTTAATGTTATTATAGCTTATAAAGGGTTTTATAATTAAATACATCTGAAAGGTAATCTAAAATTACCATTATTAAAATCAGTGTGTTATATGGACTGTTTACCATGATGTAGAGTAGGGATGTTCATAATTAACCCCAAGACAGCTTGAGAAGCACTGGCCTAGTCGTCTGTGTTTATTTCCCATCCTGCCTGGGGGAACCTTTAGCAAACGAGTCTAATATCTCATCTTTATCTAAACAAGTTTAGCTTCAGAATACATATTCAGAATGCATAAACTGCCTCTAGGTTTTTTGTTGTTGTTTTTTTACACACCACTTTTTACGCTTTCAGTAAGCAAGTATGCGTCTAAGCGTCTTGAAAAAGTGAAGCAGACAAGTAATTACAATTAGTGGAGGAGGGCATGTCCAAATTCATCTAGATGAATGTGATCGTTGTTAACAAGGTAATTAAGTTTAGGAATGGAAGAACATCAGCCAATGATCACCACGTCACTCAAAGTGAAACCGAAAGTGTAAAAGAAAAAAAAGAAAAAAACACAGAAATCATGCACTTACCGCACATTAGTAGAAAAATCTGACAGATTTTGAAGGTGCTTTTCATCATGTTGAAGGTTCCAGCAAAATCAGCTTTGGGTGGAAATGTTTAATACTCGTTTGTGTCTGAACCACACCCACGACCGACAGCGATGACTGTTAACGGACCCTCTGAATACCAACAGAGAGGTTTTTATACCGACTGTGACTGACTAATTAATTTTAACGATGATTTATATACTACTAAAGAGAAGTACGTTTACGTTTTCAAAGCTGAAAGACTACCCAACCGCAGAAAGCTGTAATGGCGGAGACTCTAACGGTTTTCTTCTTCTTCCTACTCTTCTTCTTTTGGTGTGGTTTAATGGCGGAAACCAAAATAGCTTATTACCGCCATCTGCTGTTTGTGTGGACCAGGGTTGTCAAACTCATAGGGCCGCAGCCCTGCAGAGTTTAGTTCCAACCCTGCTCCAACACACATACCAATCTAGTTTTCAAATAAGCCTGAAGGACCTGATTAGCTGGATCAGGTGTGTTTAATTAGGGTTGGAGCTAAACTCTGCAGGGCTGTGGCCCTCCAGGAACTGAGTTTGACACCCCTGCTATAGACCCTTTTAGGGCCGACATCACAATTATGTCACAGCGCTAGCTGGAGGCAAAACAAAGGGAAAACTGGAGGCAGCCAATTCAAACCAGAACAGATTCGGCTACATAAGGCTGGCCGCACACTAGATGATTTTCAAATCTTAAACGATTTTAAAACCATGGGTGACCACAGACATGAAGACTGTTCAACTGATTTTTAGCCTTATAATCCTCTGAACGCACACACTAGACGATTTGACCAGACCGCGAGACCACACACTTGTCGATTGTAATAACGATTTCACAGTGACACGTGATCTCACGGACACTCGCGAGATCAAACATGACTAGAGAAGAAAAACAAATAGAGGACAATCAACGTTGTCAGCTGGCTCTCCTGGCGCACGTTCTTTTTCACAGTGAAAAACAAAATATAGAAAAGAATATGGGTGATGTTCTCTGCTTTGATAAAAAAACTAAAGTTGGATAGTTGTAGAAAGAAATGGTTATTTGTGAATAATGGCAGGATGTCATGTTTGACCATGTTTTCCTTTATAGTATCCTTACAGTAGTATTACAGTATGACCTTATGTAAATGACAGGTCCTCGCAGAAATTTCTACTCAGCCTTTAGGATGGACAGATTTTCCACAAAAGCCAGGGCACAGATAATGGACTACCAGAGAAAGAATTGAGATTGATCACACACCCCAAGTAGTCAAGTATCATTTCACATGTTTAGCTTTTTCCAACAAAATGAAAAGTGTCTCCTATAATAACCACAAAAACAATTATTTTTAGAGCAATGGTCTCACATTATGGATAAACTATTTGACATTTAAAACAATGTGAATCTGACATCATGCAGAGCACAGCTAACACATGAGACCTACCTCTGGAAAAAGGATATCCATAATGAATTTGATCTCGTCACTCTGGGTGTGCTGTCCAGAATTGAAGTCAGGTGAGAGTGGATTGCATCAATCTGCTCCTGATCTTCAATGTATACCGGCACAGGTGCTGACTTAGCAGAATGCTTGGGAAAAAGTGTAAAGCCACTTTGAATTCGTTGGGCCACTGCCTTGCCTTTCAAAAGAAAGAAAACATTTTAATTTGCTGACCCCACAATACCACAACTCTAGTTAGTGACAATAACCAGGCAGATTCATAATTAACATGTTTTAATTTCATTTAAATTGTTTAAATGTAGGTTATCAAGAATAGACATGTGAATATTGCCATGTGGGAATTTGACTGAGGTGATTATGAAAACAATGACAAGGCATGATTGATTGATGCCTTATGAATATGCTGATGATTTATTGCATTTTTCATCTGTGCGGTGTTGCCTCAGTTTGGTCAGTTATTTCCACTGACAAGGAAGGGACTTCAAGAATGAAACAAACTAAGATGTTCAGAAACTAGTACACATACCTCTCTGTCTCAAACTGCTCACCAATCTGATCGCAGGAATGTCAAGCTAACAGAAATGTTACAGGATTAGTATTCAGATCTTATTGGTAGAACTCAATGACCAGCAATAAAGTA